TTTTGTCTGAGATTCTGAGGTTGTATAGAAAATCGAAAGACCTTTCAATCGAGGTATCTTTCGACCCCCCACTCCATTTAAAAAAATCTTCCAAAATGGCGCCCAGGCGCCATTTTGGAGGATACATATTTTTTTTTTTTGAACAATATATAGCACTGAAACTACCATTGAAGCAAAAAAAAATTGAAAAAAAAAATCCCATCCGTTCAATAGTTAACCAGGGGGGGGTGACTTATTTATGGACACAGTGTATATCAAATCACCTTGTCCTCCGCTATCCGCCATTAGGCTATGGCTGGTTAGTCATGACTCACCCTGTATATCCACGGTGTGCAGAGAGTACTCGAATAATAAACACCAAGAAGATGTTTCCATTCAAGAATATCCTTCAACCCTTTCATTGCGGGTGAAATTTTGATAGTCGTGCTCTCAAAACGGAAATAATTTTGCGTTGCGGGAACGCCCGTCTCATGGTATACACAGTAAAAAAAAATTGGAAAAAATTCCTTACAGAGAATTTTTTTTCCTCTACGAATCAACTGATATATTTTTACTTCCTCAGAAGATATACAGGGAGCAAAAAGAAGTGCGAGAATGCTCAACGGAACTCTCTATATATTTTCGCGCCATTGTATAGACCTTTCGAAGAGCTTTCCGAAAATACCCCACTCAAAACACTCATCTTCAGTATTTCTCATTATATTGGAGTTTGAACCCGAAATTCATTTCTATTGATTTCTGAATGAATAACAACTATTCTATGATTGCAGATAGTATGTCATGAAGTAAACATGAATAACTGGGAAAATAATGAGGGTTTGTTATGACATTTCATTGTCATTTCTGGTGAAAATAAATTCCTTCGTCCTCTCTTGTGAATTCCCTCCATAATCAATTCTTGAATCATGGTTCATTCAAATGAAGAAAAGCAAGGAATAGTGATTCTATTCATAGAAAATAATCAAAACGCATCCGCTGCAAGACGTGGCTATGAATTGCGTTTTCCGAATCGTTATATTCCATCAAGGTGAACCATCCAGAATATTTACTTGAAGTTCAGAAGGACTCCCTCTTGTCAACGAAAAGAATCAAACGCATGTTTCGGATCACATAAAATTTCAAGGGAGATTATCCGTAAAGATCTGACCTCATAAATTCCATACGGTACAAAAATTGACAGAGATTCATAGAAATCAAAAACTGAATTTTTGCAACTTGATGTTGAATGGATTGAGTAATGATGAAAAATATTAATGTCCGGAAATCAATAGTATATTACACACCGAGGTGGAGAGTGATTAATTTCTGTCGTGAGATCTGTTAGTTAACCGAAACGCAAAGCGTCAAGGTTAGCTATAATTTCGAGACAAGAATAAAACTTCCTACCGAGGTTTGTATACTATTTAATTCACAACCATCATATTTCGATCAAAATTAATGAATCTATGTTTTGTTCAGAACATACCTGAATTATAACATGAGTGGGGGCAAAAAGTGAGGGCTGGAAGTAGTGGGGGTAGGGGTAGGAAAATGAGGGCGGGAAGTAGAGGTGTGTAATGTGACACTTCCCCAGATGACGTAAGTAATGACAACATAACATTTATGGTTGTGAATAAATCAATATTACAATTCTGACTCTGAGGAACTACTTACTGACAATGAGTACTGAATATCATAAAGATATATAGATCACCTTGATTCATCGTCACAGCATACTCTCAAAAATCATTTGAGGATCGATAAACACTTTGTTTTATGTAAGACTGTCCATATTATAAGAAATACTGGAGATAAATGTATTGGGTGGGGTATTTTCGGGAAGCTCTCTGAAAGGTCTATATAATGACGTGAAAATATATAGGGCGTTCCATTTAAGATGTTTACACTTTTTCCTGCTACCTGTTTATCATCTGAGATACTGAAAATATATCAGTTGATTCGGTGATGTATAGAAATACTCTGTTAGGATGTTTTTCCAATTTTTTTCCTGCTGTCAAAAATAATGGAGTTATAGGGGGTGGTACTTTATAACGAGTCACCCGATGAATGTTATTTTTTTGCATATTTCAACCCAAAATGAGCTTTATTTCGATAGTCTTCATTTGAAATGAAACGTTATAATGCAATTCCTCATCTATAATAAATTAAAAATATTCTCATATAAGAAATGGAATTCAATTATTTTTGACATTGTGATACCTCTCAGAACATTTTATAATACACAGTGGAACATCACAAGGCGCAAAGCAGAATCAAGTTCCTCCTAGCAGACAACATCTCTTCAATTTGATCGTCATCGAGATATTTTCGAGCCATCGTGGTTAGAATTCACTTGAAACAAATCAGAACAAACCAACTGAGGCAGCTACTACTTCGATACTGAAATATTGAATGAAATGAAAACCGCATCCACATTCGTTAAATTCTGTTGAGACATGTTAAGTTGCATCTCGACATATCCATATACGTAGACGGGAACGCCAGGCTTCCGCAATGAAGGCGTTGAAAACACGTGCGTGAAAAGCCGTCTCTCGCGTATTTGGTGTACAAACGTTTTGCGGGTTTTTCCAGTTCCCGCAATGAAAAGGTTGAGTAATATGAATATTTCATGGGATCCAGGAAATATTCTGAAGAACGATATCAATTTGATATCGGTCTTTGAATCAATTGTGAGTAGGAGCTCAACGTTTCTTCTACAACAGCAGCACAGTAGGATGAGAGATGATATTTTATGTTTTTCGTGGGTGTTCTAGAAATCAACAAATTTGATTCCATCTTATTCTCGATGTTTCATAGAGTTACCGATGCAGAGCCAATGAAGACTCGGAATCCCGAACAGGAAAAACAAGATAGTGTGTACACTTTGTTCTACTTCGACTGCAAACTCGAAGGAATTCACAAGTTTGTCCAATATTTATTAGTAGGTAGAGCAAGAATTGAAATCATTCCATTTTATTCGTTATCGATCAAACGATCTGCTTCGGCGCTTAGATCGATTAACGGTGTATGAATTCGTGAAATTCGTATCTAACCTAGAATATCTGAAACGTATCTCTGACTGATGACTTTTACCTATACATCAACTGCTAACCGCAATTCGAAACCTTATTCCCAACTGCATTATATCACATATCGCCCTATCACCACTATACTTAAATTCATGTTTCATAGTAGAATTATTGGTATATTATTTGTCATTTGGAAGTGTAACACAAAAAATGAGCTATTATCGAAGTCAAACACCAACGAATATGGCGACTGAGATGCTGCCGTTTGTCGAATGCAAGTTTGCGACTGCCGTTGATACTTCATAAAATGGCGTTTTCCGATCGATACACAATGGAGCATTTTATATAATATTCCAGCTATATTACAATCTTATCAGATATATGTTGCATCCCATTAGTTGTAGCTATTTTGTCTGTAGTTAGCTAATGTTATTCACAAACTCAATGAAGTATGGATTTCGATGCAACATTGCAATTGAGAATCAACTGATAGTTTCACATGGTAGCACTGATATTGTTAGTAGTTATTCCATGTGATTTCGCAATACTGATGGGAATACATAGTCGGTGCCATATTGCTATGAAAACTCAAATGAAAGGGTCACTTTGTAACTTGCAAACAATTTCAGTAAGTTAGTCTGTTGCATCAACAACACGATTATATTTAGCAGCAGAATCGATAAAATATTGTATTTTTATCTAACAGAAGAAAGTTTCTCCAGATATTTGGCAATATTTTGTACTATCACATGTTCAGTTGGCAAGATATAAATATGTAGGCTTGGCAACTGCTGATCATGCAATCATTCAAAGACGTATTCTTCATTGGCTGATATCCACCCTCAACTGTCTGGTTGAAAACATATTTGTTCGTTCTTGTGCGCCTTCTTTGAATTTTGTTTACAAACCATAATCTCGAAAGATGTTTTTCTATTGCTATAACACGACATTGCTCTTGTTTCACTATGTTCGATGAATCGATGAATTCGTTTTATTATCATTTCACAAAATCTCATCTCCCATGAAATGTTGATCCTCAAGCAGAGACAGATCTGTCTAAGAAATAATCATCACTGAAGATAAAATAAGATAGCTACAAGCCTAAGGAATAAAAAAATTGCCTGTCATATGTTACTGCCGTAGAAGAAGTATAGTGTTTAACTTGCACAGAATGCTCATTTCTCACACGCCTACGGCTCATGCTGCAAATTGCATTCTCGTGGGTATTTATCATATCATTTCGTGCTCATTTATCAATATAATATTCTTCATCTGCCATTTCACATGTGGCTTTCTGAATGAAAGAATGTGACATTTAATGAATCTGGATGGATGAATGTGATGAATTGTTAATTTCAAAATCTCATACGCCACTTTCGAGCTATCTGCTTGCATTTTAGCCATCAACAGTCTGTCTGTCAAAAAATCCTCGCATTCTTCAAAAATAAATAGATGCTATTCTCACTTATGATATCACGAGACCTCCAAAAATTCTTGGATATCAATTAATTATTATTCGCTGAGAAAATTTCACACTGAAATAATATATTGAAAGTATACCTACATGATTATAGTAAGCTGTTGATAAATTATTGTTATTTATCGACTCATAAAATCAACTTAGAATAATCTGAAGTTGAAGGTGAATGTCATTCAACCTATAAACGTCTGAAAATGTACAGTGTTATTTGATGCTTCGTCCCCCAAGGATGAGGAAAAATTTACAAGAAATTCGTTCAGTTGCTCTGGTGACGATACTAAATACAGGCTTTAAATTTATCGGAAATGTTTGGTGTGGAATTTTCATGATAATATTATATATCTTATATACCCACGTTGATATCGAAATTTGGCCTATTAGCGAAATCACGCTATCAGAAAACAACATCTGAACTCTGATACACATAGGTCAGTCAGCTATCCGTCTAATACATATTCCTGATGTCTAGGTCACTATGCTATGATAAAACCTTCGCGTATTATACAGCTGAATCATTTGAGATAATTCCTCAGTGGTCCTTCATAGGTTATTGGCATTTCTGTTGAAGTTTCTAACTTCTATAATGGAAATTTGAGTACACAAAATAACGGAAACCATTCATCACATGATATAGAAGACCTACCCATTATCATATCCATAACCTGTGAAACGCAAAAATCGCCGACAAAGCGGTTCGCTGCTTTGCATTTCGGCCGTCGCGTCAATATGTTGTTAACACCGTTTCAAGTATTCTCGATCATTCCTGAATACTGCAAGATAGCAAGACTCTTGTGAATGTAAAGGGCAAAAGCATTCTATACAGTTTGGTTCATGGCCGAGTATGACCCATTATTCTAGCGTAGGTTCTTATCTTCAATCGGAGATGACTTCTTCTATTTAATATCAAATTCTCGTATTCCTCGACGACTCACCGAAATGAAAACAGCATTCGACATAGTGAATAGTCCTCCAACTTTGATTTCTATGGGCTTCATCGCTTGGGATGAGAAGTTGAGCAGGAGCTTCTTGAATTTCAAATCGCAGTCGATCCAGGGAGTATTGAAAGCAGAAGTGAATATATTCCTGCTCTGAAATCATCAATTGCAAAAGTACTCATTGTATTCAGGTGAGGATATCACAACTGCACATGATTCACGAACCTTCTCGATGATTTCGTTACCAAACCAACAATACATATACTGCTGTATGAGCATACAGTTTAGTAATGAAGACAGCACAAGGAATTTAGCAGTATCTCCTTCAAATGTAACCTGCAAAAAAATAAAAGTTTCAATACATTGATAATGAGAATAAAATTCGCCATTCACGAACGAAATATGATTCCATATCATACAGGGTGTTTCAGACTTGTGATGACGAAAGAGAATGAACAAAATATGAGGAAAAGTTCATATGAACATGGGTCGGAGAATGCTTCGTTTCCGAAATATAGGATGTCAACTTTGAGAAAATCATCTGTCTTGAAATAATATTCCTTCCAAGATTCGATGATACATACGTATCGATTTCGCGGGTCGGTCCACTCAACGACCTACTTCCCAAGTGTACTAACTTGACCAGTTCTTTTCTTCATACTGCGGTCAGTCCCACTTTTTTGATCGGCTCGGGAACTGAAAATACTCTCACGATAGCATCATTTCTACACATTAAACACCCTTTCTCAGGAAGTGTGAATAGGGCAGTAGGACCAAACTATGCACGCATGAGTGGACTCAAGATTACCTCGTCCACTAGCTCGACTCAGCTGCCCCCGAGTGGCCGTCACTATTCGAGTGGGTATCGCTAGCCTCGATATCTCCCAGAATAATTATTATTGAAAGAAGAGACGAAACTGTTTGGTATTTCCTCGAAGAAAGACACCTTTCTCAGTGCGACAATTCTCAAGACAATTTGAAGACACTTCTCAAGACAATTTGAAGGGATGACTTCTTCCATTTTTCATGGGAGCAGCTCCGTTACCGAAATATCGAAGTATATGTTTTCAAGTAAGGTAATTCCTTATTTTTGCAATATTCCTCTTCTCCAAGCATTCTCAAAACTGACTGGCACTGACAACCGAATGAATTTTTCTTTTAGGCTCTCTGAGAGAAAATTTTTTGAACGCAGTGATATAATGGGACGAGTCATCTGATTTCTCCTGGGTACATTAAATGGCTCATACTTCTATTTCATAGAAACGACGACAGAAGATACCGAAAAATCAAGAAAAATGGATGTACCACCTCCTCAATCAATTTACAGACAGTATTGATGGGAGTTTAACTCATCAATGATCGAATGGAATTATCAATTCTGCTCGACAGAAGCGTAAGAGAATTCATGGCTGCTGACGACCAGTGTATATCACTTATGAGGATCCCACATAAAAAACACACAAGTGTATCATTGGCATCTCCTTCGCTTTGAAATCTCACCTCAATAATAACGTAAGCAACAAAACAGGCGTCTCCATGAGAAACTAGACGAAAGTAATTTTTTGGAACCAAAAATTCATTCATCAAAATAAAAATCAAATCCGAAGAGTGTCAACACACTCTGTCCTGATACCCAGTTCTGGAGATTTTGTTGATTTGAATGATCCTGGCGACCAGTGTTTCATCAAAAATAATCCCATTTGATCGTATTTAGCAAATATTTGGAAGCTCTGTAGATCAAGCAGATCTCAAAAACCCAACTCAATAAATACGGAAGAAAATGCTCTCATCAGAAGTACTTTTGAGTTGCATCGACCTTGATATTTTTGTTCTCTCCTTTCACCTTCTCCATCACACCAACCTGAATCTTGAATGGTCCATGGATGTTATACGAATATTCACTTTGTTTATACAGAACAAAACATTTCATTCAGCTATTGGTCTCAACAAATCCTTACCAAAACATTTCTGAAAATGGCGCTTCAATGAAAGCTGTCTCTTGTAAGAAATACGATACCTAATATTTTGAAAAATGATATTTTATTTGTTGTTATTGAACAGGTCGAAAATTATTGCTGAACCATTTCGAGGTATATATTCTTTAGTGATATAGGAATATGACTGAAAAACTTCCCGAACAATTTTCGTGAAATGGGAAACATGGGAAATTCTTCAATATCTTCTAGATTTTCAATAGAGAAATATTCATTTTCAGAATGAAAACACGGCATCAGAATATGTTGAAATATCGCGAAAATATTCAATGATCCATTCAGTGAAAAATGTGCTTGTTGCGTTTGTTTCAATCAGTAGTTAGATCCATCAAACAATCGAAAATCATCCCGAACAAACCCTGAACAGCATCTATATGCATAAGGCGATACTAACACTAATATTCTGTGCATCTAACTGTGATGAAGTTATCTGTAATAATTGGATATTCAGTGTATCTACAGAATACTGTAATGATGGAATACGATTCTGATAGAATACGGTTTTGAAGAAATACGGTTTTGACGTAATACGGATCTGACGAAATAAGGTTCTGACGAAATATGGTTCTAACGAAATACGGTGATGATGGAATACGGTTCTGATGAAATACAGTTTTGATGAAATATGTTTCTGATAGAATACAGTTCCGATGGAATACGGTTTCGATGAATTACTGAAACTATGAAATACAGTGCCGATGAATTGATGTGGCGATGGAATACAGTTCCTATTCGATACGATTTTGATGAATTATAATTCTGATGTTTTACTGAAGCGACGAATTACGGTACTGATAATTTACTGAAGCTATGGAATGAGGTTCTGTTGGATTAGCATTCCTATATATTACGGTGCTGATAGAATACCCTATCGATAGAATTAGATAATGATAAATTACCGTGATGATGAAATACTGTTCTGATAAATTACTGTTATGATCAAATACGGTTCTTTTCGAATACCATTCTGATGGATTACATTTTGACGATTCACGTTTTGTTATTATACATTTCTACAAATAACGGAGCTATGTTTTACAAAGCGATGAAAAACGTGCTTACAGAATTTTTTTTTCATTGCTTGGAGCGCACGAAAGGGAATCCTTATAATGTTCAAAGAACATCGTGCGTTCCTAGGGAGGATAGGGACAGGAGGTAGGTATTGGAATTTTTTTTGAACTTCTGGAGATTATTTATTGTTGGTACCTACGAATTACCATTCTGATGAGATATTTTTTTACAAATCACATTTTGATACATTATATTCTGACGTTTTGGATGTTTCCTACCAAGAAGAGCCATCCGCCTGGTGGGTGACGCCACACTCACTCAGTCTTTGACATCATTGGAACACCGTAGAAAGGTCGGCGACCTTTCACTTTTCTATCGATACTTCCACGGGAAATGTGCTTCGGAAATCTCTGCTATCATCCCTTCACTAGCAATACCAGTCAGACGAACTAGACAAGCCCAGTCAGCACATCCTTTCGTTGTCAACCTCGAAAGATGTCGAACAGCACTTTATCAAAACTCCTTCATCCATAGAACGGCTAGGCTCTGGAATTCATTGCCTGAGGAAGTATTCCCAACAACATATAATCTCCAGAAGTTCAAAAAAAATTCCTACCTCCTATCCTTATCCTCCCTAGGAACGCACGATGTTCTTCGAACATTATAGGGATTCCCTTTCGTGCGCTCCAAGCGATAAAAAAAAAAAAAAAAATTTCAGCTAGTTTCATCAACAAAATATTATAATCAATTTTATCAAATGCCTTGCTAAAAGATAGATAGATAAAGTCATTTTGAATACGATTATCGAGTGAATCTGATATAAACTGATTATAAATCATGAGATTGGTTTTTATGGATATTTTAGTAAAGAATCCATGTTGTTCTTACAGAATTATGTGTTTGAGGCTGTCGAAGATAAGATCAAATAATATGCTCTCGAGAATTTTACTGATAATACAAAGTTTACTGATACCTTCATAATAAGTGACATCCCTTTTGTCTCCAGAATTCTTGTATATTTGCACAAGAAGCGCAGTTTTACATAGATCTGGGAATTCACCTTCAGAAATAGATTTATTATATATCAACGTAAGAGGAGTGCCAAGACTATAGGAGCATTATTTCACAAAGTAAGCTGTAATATTGTAATAACCACATCCTTCACTATCATCTATGAAGTTCAATTTGTTGAAATGAGAGAATCTGAATTTGTTGAAAACTATTTCCTCAGTGAGTTCTACTCTATCCAATAATGTAGAGTTGGGAGTATTATTATTTGGTGAACGGATTTGTTTAACAGGTTCATGAACGCTTTCGAAATATTTCGAAAATATGTGAGTGATCTCAGAACCACCTGAACCTTCCTCACCCTCATGAATGACAAAAATAACTGATTTATTCGAATTGGAGGAACACTAATTTATATCGAACTTATAACTACTATTCATGTGAAACGATTCATATCACGCGGTATATAACTGTCTCTCTGACACTCGCTGTTCGACTGACTGACGGCAGTTGCCTGGCCGTTTATATATGAGATCCCTTGGCAGGCTTTGGTTTGAGAACGTTCTCAAATGATCTTCTGCCTTCTTCTTCATGTTCTAGAAGCTTCTTAGAACAATTCCTCTCTCTCTAATCGTTTCATCGATTGTTTCCAGAACATTCCAGAAATTTCTGTCATGTAATTTGTCACCGCGGCATATATTATTACAATATTTTCTCCCAAAAGGTTATACAGCACGACAGGTATCTTCTCAAACTCTCCACTCTCGAAGTTCTGGCCCTGATCAGAGTGAAGTTCCAATGGCACTCCTAAAGGACTCTTGAGTTGATTCATTAGGACATCAGCGACAGTTGCGGCATCCTGGTTCGGGATCGCATACGCTTCTACCCACTTGCTGAAGTAGTCCATGCAGACAAGGATGTATATATTCCCATTATTAGTCACTGGAAACGGCACCGCAATATCCATGGCAATCCTCTCGAAAGGGCTCCAAACATTGTACTGTCTCATGGGTGCCCTTGGTTCACGATGAGGCCCATTACTGGCAAAGCACTCGGTGCATTCACGATACCACTTCCTGACGTCGCCACTGCATTTTACCCAGTAGAACCACTCTCGTACCCGCTGCAGTGTCTTGCTCACTTCTAGATGTCCCCCTGAAGTTCCATCATGTACATATTCGACACTTGGCTCCTAGGAATTACCAACTGCATCCGATTATCCGACAGTTAACATTAGGAGAGATTCAAGAAGCTGAAAAATCATTGATGAAATTGATTCAAAGAAAAGCTTTCGTATTCAAATTGTTCAACACCAATTCCGAA